TACTGAGAGCATCTGATTTGCAGAACCGTTATCACTATTTAGGTCTGCTAGATTTTTCACTTGAAAACAAGTTTCTTCCTGAAAACAATATTAGCCATCTGAAATTAAACCTTGATCTATAAACATTTGCAACATGATCCTGTTAAACTGAAAATTCTCTTCCCTGGCTCCCCTGACCTCAGGGATTACTCGGCTTCTGCTTCTCTCAGCATTTTTCAATCCATCCTTCAACTTGCTCTGATCAGCCTCTTCACAGCTTGCCACTCCCTTAGCCAGCACTGCCACCCTGACTTCCCTTGATAAAATAGTTCTCCACAATAGGAATCATGCTACTGCAATTACATTTTAAAGGTACAACGTTTAGGGCAACTACCACATGTTTCCAGATCTGTGATATCAGCCTCTGAACTTTCCTTTCAACCTGAAGGCAAGTAGAGATCTGAGAGTGCTACAGTAGATGCTTTGCAAACATGCATACAGCAACCTCACAGACAGGCAATGAATAAATTCTTCATTTTGTCATACCGTATTATACTCACTACACATCTGAGAGATCCCTTTTGTATCACGAATGAGTAACATCAACAATCATAAAACGTTGGTCTCAACTAAAGCTGGGGAAATATGTAGAGATCAGCCCCCTCTGCAAACAGCAACTCTCCTATGTTCTGAATGGAAAATAACCAAATGCAGAACAGAGTATGTGAGACCGAAGAGTCTAACATCTGAAGTTTAAAAAAAAAATCAAAAGTAACAGCTGACAAAACAGTGGGAATGGAAAAAAAATGCTGAAACAGATTTCAAGTAAAAGAGAAAGGTTAAAGGACAAATGAAAGAAATGGAAATATTATCTGTTTCAACCACCAGCATCCTTTTGTTAAATACTTATGGGAGGAAGAGGCCTCTAGTTTTGTTCCCATATGGAATTCTATTCCCAGTGTCTTATGCCTGCAGTAAACTAAAAACTACAATTTGCTAATGTCTGTGATACAGTTTGGCAAAACTCCTCAACATACAGGGAAGGCTGGTAACTTCCCCTTTACTTGGCATGGGTTGCACAGAGGTTTGAAAAGAAAATTCCAGTTCAAAGCTAAACTTGGCCAAAACAACGAGCGTGTCTCCCTTTCTAGTCCTTTTGAGAGACAGACCTTCCATCCTAAACACCAAATTACTTCCCAGCTTTCGAAGTGTACCAGCAACTGAGATCTTGGCAAAGAATATTCTGAATTCAGATTTACAAAAGTTTCATGCATCTTGATACAACATTAGGATGCCCTTGTAAGTTAGATTCATCTGCCCACATCCATCAACTAGCACGTAAGAAATCAGAATATGATTATTAACTTCCTGGTTATCAAAATGATCAGAATTTACCTTTAACTAAATTTAGACCAATTTCTTAGTTTTCATAGTCAAAAAATTGAAGGCATAATTCTTTTCACTCAAACCTAAGGCACCTATTAAACAATACAAAAGAAACAGCTGGTTTTGTACAGAAGATATAGACACCAATTCCCTTATATCCCAAGGTAGTCTCAGTGACACCTTAATTGCTTGCTCTGATTCTCCTTTATTTTAGCAGTTTGAGAACTGAGCATCATTGCACTGTGGCCACTAAGTGAGCATAAGTCACTTAAAAAAAGGTTCATAGCTTCCCAATCCAAATGAAATAAAGATCATCTAATTTCTCATTTCTGAAGGGATTAAAGGTGGTTTTAAGTTATAAATAACATTTTAAGACAGATATTTAAAAATAACTTTTTTTTTCTTTACAAACTTTAAAAAAATCATCCTATATTGAAGGGGTAAATGATCTACTTTTTGGCAGGGATCTATTACTCAAACATAGCTAAAATAATAGAATTTACATCCGAAATTCAGCTGAACATTACAGTTTGTATCTTTAACATGTTAATTTTTTTAATCAAGAAAACAGTAAAGCCTATTCAAAATGAACTAAAAACATCTGTTAGTGGAGTTCAGATAAGTGATGGTAATTTCAAGAGACAAATAGAGATGGATGAACTTGAAGATGATATTCGTTTAAGAAGCAACTTTTTGTGAATAAGGAAGAAAATGCTCCGATTTGAAAAAGACTTTTCTTTACTACAGATTTTACCACTCCACTTCAAATGAAACATTTTGTAGTGATTCTTCAAATGAAGACAAAAGGAAAACTTCAGGTACGTTAAGAATGCCATGTGTTACCCTGTTTCACATGCCACAATATATATTTTAAAACAGAATCCAGATCAGTTTGATGACTTAACATGGGAAATATGCCAAATATATAAGGGTAAAGACATTTTTGCATTATTATTTGGACTTTGTTGTTTTAGCCAATCACATGTCTCAAATCATCATCTCCGTATAATTAGAAAATATCATATAACCATAGTACAATTTGAAGACAGTGAATCGGCTAATGCTTAACTTTAGCTAAAAAGCTGAACAACCTTCCAGTCAAAGCAGGTAAGCAAAGATCTACTGACCTTGGCAAAAACATGTAATTCTGTAACAAACTAGTATCTACTTTTTCAGTACTGCTGTAATAGATCTCTTAGTGCATTGCATTCAAAAAGCCTTTAACATGAGGCAGAATATTATACTCCCATTTTATGGTCCAAACCTGGGATATAAGAAAATACCGAAGTTGTTCAAGGATGTGAAGGACCTGATTATACCTGTTTTGAGAGATGCTTAAGGTTTTAAGAACCTGTCATCATAATAGACAACATTAAATACTAGGCAGCAGTTCTTTCCACAGAAACATCCACCTATCCAAATGATGATTGTATTATTGCCCCATTGGCTCAAGTGGTTAGCCATAGTTCTGAGCTTTGCAGAATGGCTTTCATTTGTATCGCCAGTTTCTTATATAAGTCAGATATATTCTGCTGTATTTTTTGTTCATACACAAAAAAACATATATAATGTCCTGGTTCTCTGAATACAATACAAAACAGCAACACACGGAAGATCCTAAATAGGCCTATACAATAGAAGTCACAATATTTATTTTAATAAGTAAACAAAGAATAGAAAAAAGATTTTGGGCTGCATCAAAAGTTTTTTGGTTGCCTTCCCCTTCCCACCTCTCCCCCGCCCCCAAATTGGAGGCCAATTCAGTGAAGAGGGTTTTTTTCTGGAAGAAAGAAGTTAAAGTATGTCACTACTTTCTAATATTTTGCTCCGGGTTTTTTGTTTGTTTGTTTTTCCTCAAAGTTTGTCTACATTACAAAATGTGACACAGACAGTACATAACACTTACAAAACATTGACTACTGCGTCTGTAACAACCTAATGTTTAGCTTCCACCACTCCAGAAGAGTTACAAAGCAGCTGAGTTATTCACTAAGGATTACGATGAATCTGACCAGAGCTGCAGAAGCTAAAACAGCTAACCCAGCAAATAGGTACCAAAGCAGCATTCATGTGGATCTCTGCAAAGAAAACCACTGAGCTTTGTGCTGGGAATCCATCTTAATTATCTTTGTCAGGCTCCTTGAGTGGGAGGAGGACAAACGAGGTACTTTGCTCACTGTTAGGAATGTCATTGGATAGTCACAATTTCTTTAGATATGAACGGCATAATCTGAGCAACTAAAGAAAGATCATGAATTCCTCAGTTCTTGCAGTGATTAACAGACTAATCCAAAAGCCACTGACGTTAGTAGAAAGACTGCACAGGCATTAGCTAAAGCCCAGATGCCTTCTTAACTTAAGGCGTGAATTATGTTCATAACTAGTCATGTCAATTTATATGGATGTGAACTTCCCACAAGCAGGAAAAACATTTACCATTGGACCACACAGAAAGATCATGGTTGAAAATACTTTTGAAAAACGACCACAGATGAAATTTTAATCAGGTGTCTCTCAGAAAGAAACCACACCAAATGTCTTCTGTAAGAAAACAAAAAGCCCTGTCTGCATCATTGTTCATAAGAAATGGAAGTATGTAGCATTTACAAGCTATTCATGCCTGAATTCAGTGTCTTTGACTAATTAAGCCAATGAAAATAGCAGCTTGCTAATGTCTTTTAGCACATAGGGATTTGTGTATCATAAAAAGGAAACGCTAAACTTGTTCAGAAATCTTCCTTGACTGGTTCAGTTTAGAACGCCCACACATCTTCATCTTATGCTTAGAGAATCATGAAAATCGGATCAGGGTCAGCTTAGTGCTTTGAACAAAGAAATAGCAGACTCACCAAAAGCAGTAATGAAAAAATACTGAGATTTAACTTTAAAGTCTTTCCATTCCCTCAATTATGTCAGCTATTAAGCCAGAATTCTTTTTTTCATATTAAGTATAACAAATATAAAAACATTGCTAATACCTATGAAAATAAGATGTCTTGCCTGTGAATTTGATATCAAAGATTCAGCTGCATAGCAAAGGCTATACAGAGCAAAAGCCTGAGAGATGCTCGGAACTCCAGCAGATATGACAGCAAATTATGGATCTGAACAGGTATTGTTTTTCCCATTTCATGAAAAGTGCCTAAAATCATACACTCCCAAGTCTTTTTGAGAAAAATCAAGATCTTTCAATAATTTTTGTTTGCAAAAGAAAGTGAGAAAGAAAAAATACCACCCCGATTTAGGAAGTACAACAGGGATTAAACAGATATGAGTTCAAGTCCTTCGTGCAAATCAGGTAAAGCAAAAACTTGAATGTCAGTCATCCACATACCATATCACTACGGTATTTGCCAGTTTATTTTGGAGTCCTCCTCACCCTATCTTGGTCTCATTCCTCCTGCTTGGTTTGCTATTTTACAGCAAGTATATTTCGGCCAAAATATTCCTGAAAAAAACTTTGGTGATATGAGTCACAAATCAGTCTACTTAATCAGAAAAAAAGGGAAATCATACGCTAATAATAGGAATGATGCAAAAATCTTGTTTTAACAGGCACTAGGTTTCACAAAGTCAGTAGGTGTTCCTTTTTGTGATGAAAGCTGGCAAGATTTATTTCCTGAGCGTATGCTTACAGCTCTATTATCTAAGAAACGAAGGATCAGTGTATTACCATGAAACCATTGAGCAATCCTGTTGGTGTTCCTCTCAAAGCCAGCACGTCGAGGAACCTGCTCTTCTTTGAACCAGCGAACGATGACATCTCGGGAAAAGGGTCTAGAAGGACGCTCCCAGATGTTACTGCATTGAAAGGCAAGCAATTACAGAAAAGAGTCATACAGAGAATTAGCAGTTCATGAAAGCAAGGGACAATATAAATATTAATCTCTTTTTTATGTATTTACAAAACATACAGCTACAAAATGGTCAGTATAGCTGCTGTTCAGTATAGCTCACTGAACAATTTTAACCTTTTTAAAATTTGTTACAATTATTTTGAGTTTTTATGGAGACCTCAATATTTTGATTTTACATTTGCAATGGAACCTTAAACATTTCCTTAAGCACAGAACTTAAATTGAAAAACAATTTACCACAAAAGATGCAATGGACATTTCTGTCAGCTTTCCTTTTCCACCTCATTTTTATTCCAATGTACATATTGACAAGCAAAGGTTTTTTTTTTTTTGCTTAGAGTATACTCCTTTTCACTGGCAAGAAATTCTAAATCAGAATCAGCTGTAATAGTTTGTGCATCCAAACCACTGAGCATGATAGAGGGAATGGTTTTTTTGAACTCTTATGTTCCCTTTGCATTCTCTACTTGCCAGCCTCCTTTACTGTTTCTACTACTTACTATGCATTTTAGATTATTTTAGCTAGTAGGAGGCAAATGAGGTCAAATATGTGAAAAATCCATCCAGCTACCCCAAATAAGGACTAAGGTATATTATATCCAATGAAAGTATCACTGCATTCCAATTAAGCATACAATCTCATTTATCCTGATAACAGTAGTAAATGGGAGGGTTTACAATGGATTTCTGTATAGTTTGAAATCCCATGGATTTCTGGGTGCTCAACCTGTTAGCACAAATTACCACATCTTCATTACTGCTGTTCTTCAGATAAATAGGATGAAGGCTAGTATAGGTATGTCTCCTTGGACTATAATTTCACTTTCATTTGGTGAGACATACACTTCACAGTGCCCAGTATGGTATCTGGCTACATACTTCCAGCTTTCCCACTCCACCTGCCATGGAGCTGCCAGTTAACGTTGTGTATTTCTAGACAACATAACGGAGAGCTATTACTAAAATTAGAACATCAGCTCAGAAGTCACCAAACAGCATTAAACTAATTTGCGAGATAATCAAGAACCCTCAAAACCAATGAAGGTTCTGCAATTCATGGCAGCAAGGTGCTCTGAAGAAAGGAATAAAAGCAAAAAAAATAGATGCTGTCTGCTTGATGATAAGCAACAGAGTCCTCCTTTCAGCTTGTCGTACTATTACTAAAAACTAGTGATTGATTCTGTTGATATCAAGTGATGAAGCTCGCAATGAATGTAATAGTTATTGCTAAATTACACGAACATGTGTGAGTAGATCTGACCAATATTCATCATAAAATTTGAAGAAACAACATGAGTGAGGGGAGAAAGTGAGAATTCAGTTATAGACACACATTAAAGAAAAAACAAACTACATGTGTTTCTTATTTCTGTTTTTGAATATTTTCTATAAAGAAACAAGAAACCCTTTGAATTCCAGGGCTCTACAGTCCACTCTTGTTTCTTACCTCATTTCTCTCAAGAACCCTAAGAAATCTGTCTGAAAAATAAATGGCATTTAGTTTCAATCTGTTTTCATTTTTCTTTAAACATTCTTTTTCAGGTTGTAGTGAAAAAGCAAGACTCTCAGAATTTCCAGCAACTGAAGAAGAGCTTGTTGAAATGGTGGGGAAATTGGAGACGGAGCAATTAAACAGAAAACTATTTCAAAGTCACTCCTGTGCAAACCGACCTGGATGCTGCAGAGAGAGACAGCAAAGGACTTGCACTATTGTTGTTCAGTTTTATCTCCTGATCCTTATTCAAGCTTGTCCCCTGGAACAAATTACTCAGGCCAGCCACTCTTCCCTTCTGGATGGCACGCAAGGATTGTCGTCGGTATTCATCCCGGGCCCTGCGTGCTTTGTGGCTCCTTTCCTCATCTGCAGCTTTGGAGCGGCGCACTGGGTGGAATGAATGGGAAGGATGGGGAGGAGAGACTTTAGAAATACAAACAGCCATTTACTCCTTTCCTTATACAACAACTTACTATCTTTATTCCTTATATGACCTGATTTTAAGAATGTATAAATTACAATGCACTATCAAAGAGATGGCTAACTGGATGACTTCCCTGGTGCTTCAAATACAGCCCCACCACTAGATGAAGCATGCCAGACTTGAGCTATCAGTGAACTGATCACTGGCAATAACTGAGCTTCTACATACTGCGATTACATCTGACACTTGCTTTGGCTGTAATAAGAGAAATTCTGCTTCAGGACATCTTTTCCACTGGCAGTGCACCAAGTTTTATGTTTCAAGAGAGAATGCTAGCTACTGCTTAAAATTAAGTCTGTGTTTAACAGAATTCTTTGAAGAACTGCAGGAGCTACTCCCAAAACTTATAATTATAAAAACTAACATGTAGGTCACACTTTTTGTTGTTAATGTTGCTTTCTTTCTGAAAGGCATATGCTATCTTTGTTACAGTACTTAAAGTCACAGAAGTCTCCATCTTGAAAATTGCAGTCTAAAAATGCTTTCAGTAACATGGAGAAATTAATACCTGTTGGAAAGGGCATGTTGATGCTATGGATGGGGTTGTCTCATGCTTGAGTCTCTGAAGTTGCATATAAAGAACCAGAATCTGTACTGGAAGATTTAATACACACCTATCAATGGCACTGACGAGGGAGTTACATATTTCCATAACCTGAAATGAGACTGCTGCTCTGGCCATTGCAGGTCAGGCATCTTTCAGTAAAGCTTCTTCATTTTAAAACTAATGTACTAACAATCCTGTCTGCAAAATGGTATAACTCAAATGCACCAAGAATTGTACTGCAAATATTCGTCATCTATCAGCTCTTTTCTGGTGCCTCAAGCCCCATTTTGATGATTTTTTTGAGACACAAAAAACTTCAGGCAGACAAATTATTCCAGTGCAAAACAAACCTTTAACATCCAGTGAAGCAAATATTAAAGCAGCAAGCTATTGCCTCAAGTAGCAATTATCAATCCTGCCACGACTGTCTTGGCTTAGATCATACCAAATTCATAAAATGCACATACTATTTCTTACTCTGCTGTGATTGTACCTGTGACTAGGAATGCATGATATAATGCCAGACAGCTGCATTTCATTAGGTTGTTTGCATGCCTCTGGTTTACACTGCTGATTTAAAGCAAGCAGAAGTATAAATGGATTTGTCCAAATTATGAAAAGGTTTAATGGAATCAGGAAATAAAAGCGCTCGAAGCAAAATGAAATGAAATAAAACCCTCT